CTCTTCCCAAGCCCTATCACCATCCTGGTGGGCCCCGGCAAGGTGATCCACACTTGCTCCCCATCACTGCAGCAATATCCAAGAACAGGACAGATGCTCAGGTGCCATGGCAGACCCATGCGCTGGGCACCAGCTGGACACATTTCAGGGAATTTTTGAGCAGGACTCCAGGTCTGGAGGGAGGTGACAGGTTGGAAGCGGCCCCCAATGGCAGAGGAGCAAGGCTGGACCACTGCAAGGCACTAGAAGCCACCGGACATGCCACAGGACAGGGTTCACCCTGCAGTCCAGCAAGATCCTCAGGACCATGAGAGCCCCCCTGTCCAGGTCCAAGGGGCTGCAGACAAGGGTAGCTCTTCTCTTGGAGCTGCCCCAAAGAAACTAACCTCTGGAATCGGGCTCAACCCATGGTTGATGCCAAGATCTGCATATTCCAAGCAGCCCCATCTCCCAATTTCCACAGCTTGTACAGACACCAGTACCTGTCCCAGGATCTGACAGATGGCCATCAGCAAATTGGGCTCAGAACCAAGCTCATCTCAATTTGCAGAGCTGCCAACATCCCAGTACCAGAACAAACAGCCTCAGCAGGAGATAAATCAGGAGCTTGGGGAGAGGCTCCTCTGCAGCTCCCCATGGCTTTTGACCAGAGCAGAAGATGCTGCCTTGCCCCTCTGATCAAAGCCTCCTTAACCCCACTGCAAACCTGGACCATGCAAGAGCATCTCAAGACACCAATCTCAACATCCCAAAGCAGGGTCCTGCCTGTCACCAACAGTCTGAGCAGGACACAGCAACAGGGACTTTCTCTTCCCAGTAGGTCTCACCCATCACTTGGGCCCTGTGAAGGCCAGATCTCCCTTCCCCAGGTATAGGAGCTTTTCAGCAAGGTGAGGACAAGCAACACATACACTCATCTGTTTTTAACTAAATAAAACACTTTTGCAGGAAGGACACTGGTGTCAGCCACAAGAGATCACTGAAATGTCCTTTCAAATCTGTTGCTGTCACCATGAAAGGGGAGAAAGAAAATATTGGCCTCCTGCAACCAAGCGTTATCTTTAGGGAGCAGGGCTGGATCCTTGTTTGTTTCCGTCACTCTAGTTCCTCTGACTGCAGCTGGCCAAGCTCAAATGCAGCTAAAGAGATGCCCTCTCCTCCCTCCCTTTCATTTTAAGGGCAAAAGGGACAGGGCTGGGCAGGAGGACCAGAGGAAACCCTTCATTTCCCAGGATGATGCCACCAAATTGGTTCTAATAATGTCATAAATACAATTGCCTCCAAATGTCTCCCAGGGGCCATAAGAAAGCCAGGACAGCCTGGGACAAGCTGGGCTGTCTTGCAACCACAGCGGGCTCCTACCTGCAGTATAAAAACTTCCAGGAACAGGGGTTGAACCCAACACCAGGGCCAGATGCTGCAGACCCAAAGGCAAAGCCGTCCTGATCCAGTCTTGATCATCCCAAGCAACTAAAAAGCCACAGACCCACAGGACCTCTAAAACACCAGTGTCATAAGCTAATGGGCTCTGATCTGTAGCTCAGGTGCAATGTGTCATTTTCCTCCTGTCTGGTCCCAACAAGTAGCCAAGGATTACACAGAACCATGGAGGTAGAGACAGGTCAGCTCTTCAACTATATTAACCCCTATAACGCTAGACATACAGGTAGGAAAGAGCTAGAGAACCAAGCTAAGTCCTAAAGCTTAACCCAGCAATCAGATATGCAGCTGGCATATGCAGATGGCTCAAGGTAGACTCTGGATTCATCCTCCCAGGACCCAGCTAGGGGGTGTTGGGGACAAACAAGCAGCATTTGTCACACTCATTTCCCAGTAAAGGGCTCAAAGACACCAAAAATGATCACAGGAGAAACAGAAAAGCTCCCCATCTTCTTTCCTCTGTTGAAAACCTCTCAGACAACTTCAGTTGCAGCCTCTCCAGAAGAGCTCTGCCCTCCACACTGTCCTGAGATGGCTGCAGGAGGACCGCGGAGAAGAGCTGGAGGAACGCAAGGAGCCAGAGCTCTGGTGAGCAAGGGGACAGGCTTGTCCCCAGGGGCAGCAGCCTGGCCAGCGCAGTGTCACAGCTCCCAGATGGTGGCCACCAGGGGAGGAGAAAACAAGAGGGCGCAGAGCTAGCATGGAGAGACATGGTGGACAGAGATGAAGCCAATGGAGAGGCAGGAAGATATTTAGGAGACTGGAGGTGGGGGAAGCAGAAGACAGCCAGGCAGATGGAGATGAACCATGGCCTCAGATGCAATCAACCCATACCCAGACATTCCAGTCAGACCCTTCACTGAGGTTGACCCCAGCAGAGGGACATGAGAACTAGCAAGGCTTAGAGCATCCTCTCCCCTAGGGCATCAACCTCAGGGCTCCATCCTGATCCTCCCCAGCCCACAGGTTGTCCCTGGCCAGCAGACACTTCCAGCCTCCTTCTTACCTTTCTGGATGCCTCCATCAGCTGTGCAGGAGAAGTCACCCGTAGCCAGCAGGAAGCACGTGGAAGACTTCTTGTTCTTATCCCTGGTGCTGGAGCGCCGCATGGGCCGCTTCTCTTCATCACATGGTGACAGTGGCTGCTCCTCGTCTGACAGCACCACGTTGGCTTCACCATTCTGCTTAGAGTCTGCAAGGAGATGACAGAGACCCATGAGCAGGCAACAACCCACAGGACAAGCTGCTCCCAAGAGTCAGGGGGGCCCAGCAGTGTTTGTTGGGAGCATGGGAGGAAGCAGAGGACCAGGTTGCAGATGGGCCAAAAAACACCCAAAGATCCAGACACTGATCCCAGCCTGGCCACACTAACTTACAGAGCCTGGGGAAGCAGGACCACACCACATTTTAACCCTAGGCAGCAAACAGCAGTTCTTCTGGCTAGTGAGGGTCATACACCCTGTGTGGAGCCAGGAGAACAAACAGTCCGTCTTTGAGACCCCCACCCAATGGGTGAGAATTAGCACTCCAAAATTCACACCAGCTGAGGAGATCTCAGCTGCTCACTGTGGTGCTGAAGTGCCAATTTGTGTCATCTGACTCTTGCGACTCATTAGCGGAGAGGACGTTCTGGCAGGTGGGGATGTGGCCTCCTGATCTGAGAGCTCCAGGTGCTCCTCACTGAGCATCTGTGTTTATTTGCTGTGAGGCCGGTTTCCCTCCTAGACGTGCCCAAAGCACAGTCCCAAGATGTCATCCCTCGTGTTGGCAGCAGGCTGAGCCCGCTCCGTCTCCGTGCTGCCAAGTGTGATGGTGCCAACGGGCTTGGCAGCTCATCAACAGGTACCAGCCCACCAGGACCAGGATATTCACCCAGCCAACTCATTTCACCCTGGTCACCCTTAGCCCTTTGAAAGCCACTCAGAAAGCCGCTCAGATGGGTTTGAACCAGGGACCTGGAGGTGCCTTTGGCAGCAAACCCAGCCAAAGAGGGCAAGGCACCTCTGGGCCAAGCCATGATATCACAACAGGGCTCTGCGTTCCCCAGGGGCTCAACCCAAACAACGCTGCCCACCAAAGACTGCCCATGGCTGGATGCTGCAAAGCCAGGGACATGCCCTTTCCAACCACATAAACACCAACCTCATCCTGAGAAGAGAGAAAAAAAATAGTCTACCCAGAATTATCAGCTCATTGCAGTGAGGCCAATTAATGAACGCCCAGAGGCTGGTTTTGCTCCTGCCGAAGCACAGGCTTTGGACTAATGTTGGCCTTGACATGCAGAGATGCTCAGTTTACTAGAAAGCAAAAGTGGAAGTCAGACCACAGAGAGTATCCATGGATTTTACCTATTTTGGTGAAGCCACCCCCGATTTATGGTGGGAGGAGCAAAAGAAAATCTACCCCAAGGGCATTGCCAGGCTCAGATGGGAATCAAACTAATGGTCTTACCTCTGCCAGGGTATGGAAGATGCAGGTTAGGTAGCGATGTCCTAAATTATACCAAGGTGACTTTATCTATGCCATTAAGAGAGCAGAATACGGCCCTCTCCAGGGGCTCTTGATCTGCAGCATCCTGGTCTACCCACACAGCACACAATATCCAGGCACCTGACGTCCCCCGCTCCCTCTGCACCAAACTCTCAATGGCAGGAGACAGGGCTGAGGGGACACCAAACGCTCCCTTGGGGACTCCCTGAAGTCTTCCCTTCCCTTGGACAACCCCGGGGCGTTGGGGTCTCACCTGCCCGTTTCCGCTCAGCTGCCCCCTCCTCTACTGCCAGGGGACAAGTGTCGCTCTGAGTGCTGTTGCGGGGAGAGTTTTCCTCAGACTTGCAGTAGGTCGGGGAGTCCAGCGGGGCCGGACGGGGGATATGCTTCTTCTTCTTCTTTGGCAGCTTCTGCTTGGCCATGGCCAGCGAATAATACATCCCAAAGTTATTGACTATGACAGGCACGGGCATGGCAATGGTGAGCACCCCGGCCAAGGCGCAGAGAGCCCCCACCACCATGCCCGACCAGGTCTTGGGGTACATGTCGCCATAGCCCAGGGTTGTCATCGTGACCACGGCCCACCAGAACCCAATGGGGATGTTCTTAAAGTGAGTGTGGTCACTCCCGCGCGGGTCAGATGTCTTGGCTCCGATCCGCTCAGCATAGTAGATCATGGTGGCAAAAATCAAGACCCCCAAGGCCAGGAAGATGATGAGGAGCAGGAATTCATTGGTGCTGGCCCGAAGTGTGTGGCCCAGCACCCGGAGGCCCACAAAGTGCCGTGTCAGCTTGAAGATTCGGAGGATCCGGACGAAACGGACCACCCGCAGGAAGCCTAGCACGTCCCGGGCAGCTTTGGAGGATAGGCCGCTAAGACCTACCTCCAGGTAGAAGGGCAAGATGGCCACAAAGTCAATGATATTGAGGAGGTTTTTGATGAAGAGAAGCTTATCTGGACAGCAGATGATGCGAACCAGGAACTCGAGGGTGAACCACAGGACACAGACCCCTTCGATGTAGGTGAGGATGGGCTCCGTCTCCACTTTGTGCGTCAGCAGGATCGTCGTGGTGTTGCCAACCACAAGGGTCTCCGTCACGTTCACATCGATGTTGAAAGCCTCGTGCGTCTCCAGGCAGAAGGTTGTGATCGAGACCAGGATGAAAAATAGCGAGGCAAAAGCAACTACCTGCAAAGGAGAAATTACCTGGGCCATGAGCTGAACTTCCTGGTGGGCATGCAGAGAGATTGACAGAATGGTCAAACTTTTTTGGGGAGATGGGTTCAATTTTGTGAATGGCCATGATGGCCTCAAGGCAGCCTGAGACATACATCTGGTGTCAATAACATTTGGCACATCTCTTCTAATCCCCCTCTAGGGGTTGGAGAAATCCTCCTTGGACACAAGTGTGCACAACAAGCTCACAGCACCTGGTGAACTCCCACCCTTCTTCCCCAAGCCCGAGGGTCATGGACAGGGACCCTGGACCCATCCCAGGAGTTAATAGCAAATTTCAGAGTTGGGGATGTTGGCCAGGAGCTTTCTCCAAGCACTATCATGGGTACTGGGAAGGAACGGGCTCGAGGTGTGATGGAGAGGACCGTGATGGTGAAGGGACACTCGTAACAGCCTCTGCGCAGAGCAAACTGTGGGAATGATACAGAAAAAGCAGCTTTGAGGGGACCTGCCCAAAGAGCTCATCCCTGCACTGACCCCTAAGCCCCCATAGCCGAGCTCTGCAGTGTCCAGGCTCCGGGTTTGGGTATGAGCAAACGAGGAAGGACCGGCAGGACAAGGTGGAAATCAAGGTCTGCATCAGAAGAACCAATTTGGTGCCACCCCCCATCAATCCGGCTCAGGCCTCCTTCCTGGCAGGATGAGCTCATGATGAGTCCATTATCCAGAGCATCTGCTTCCAAGAGCCTCGGAGCAGCAAAGCCCTCCGTGTACTGCCCTTCAGGACCAGGCTAGGATTCCCGTGAGCAGAGGATGCTGCGGCACCCGCTGCTGCCCAGCGACCCTCCCTGGTGCCACCGCGAAGCCCCCGCGCGCGGCGGGATGTGACCTCTGGGCTCGTGTGGCCAGCGACGCTGCTCGCCCGCCCGGCTTTGCGCGGCAGACACGCACCGCAAGCCGCCTCCAAACTGCAGCCACGGTCCTTGTCTGGAGTGAATCAGCAGCAGAGACGGCCTGAGTCACGCCGGAGGAGAAGCTGGCCCTAGACACCGGCGCTAACGTGCTGGGGGGAGACCCGGGCATCCTGGGAGCATCCCCAAGGGCAAAGCTGCTCCGAGCGCAACACAGACCCGGCACGGACAGCGTCAGCACCCCTAGGTGTGAAGGCAAGCCTGAATCTTCCTCTCAAAGGAGGAACCTCCACTGAGGAGGGGAAAAATACGTATATATAGCAAGGAGGATACTGAGGCTGTGACGCTGCTCTCAAGAAGGACCGAAGCTCGCAGGCAACGGAGCAGCCCCGCTCCGTGAACCGCGGAGGCGAGAGCCGAGTCCGCCCCGGGAGCAGAACCAGCCTCTAAAAATAGGAGTCAAATTCACAGCTGGGGTGAAGCCGCCTCCGCCGCCAGCAGCGCTGCTCCCGCTCGGCCGCAGGTCTCACCGCGCAGCTCTGGCCTCTGTCTAGCTCCCAGATGTTTTTTTCCTAAGGTGCCTTCAAATATACACAGCCCTGTGTATACACACGGGGCCTGATGTTTAGAGGGAGCTGCCGTCGGGTGTTTTGCTCTGCGGAGGACGCGCAGGCAGCAAAATATTGCCCTGTAAGGTCAGAGTTTATAGAGGCGGCTGGGAACGCCGTGCCCGCTTCCCGCGCATGGCACAGACATATTTGGTGATGGCACCGGCTCCGCCGCCAGCTCCACGGGCTGTGCTGACAGCAGGGACATCTGTCAGCGCAGCACCGGTACGGCCCCGAGCCCCCAGCAAACAAGTGCTCCAGAACCTGCCCATGATCCGCGTGGTCCCAACATGCGCCCAGCAGCCCACGATGGCCCTTCCCCAAAATATCACGACCTGCCCCATGCCACTATCCTGGAAGTCCTGAAAGAAGTGAGGTCAGGGCCCCAAACATCAGATTGAAAAGGGGGAAACTGAGGAAGTCCAGCTGGGCAGAGCTTGGGACTGAATCCACAGAACTGGCCGGCCGGGCTATGGATGGGGAACCCAAGTTCCGAGCGGATGCACAGCTCTGGGGACCAAAGCAGACCTTATGCAACATGCAACCTTGGGCCAACCTCAGCGCCCTGAGGAGCACCTTGAATTTGCTGCAGTTTCAGCCGCCTGCAGAGACGGTCATGGGGCCGTGGGTGTCCTGCCCCCGGGCAGTGACGCAGAACTGGTGAAACCAGTGACCGTTCCCGGTGCCACCGAGTGCTCCGGGCAGGCCCGTGTCTCTGCTGGCAGAGGTTGGGTCATCTCCGTGTTTTCTAGCTAAGGCTTCCCAGCCTGGGCCTCGGTTTCCCCCCTGCATTGAGCTTAAGCGACTGCATGAACCCGTTGTGGTGCTTTCAAGAGAGCAGCCCAGCACACAGGTAAAGGGGGCTGCAAGTGGGGCTGGAATGGGCCCAGCAGGGGTCATGGCATTGGCCAGCGTGTGCCCACATTGGGCTGCGATACCAAATGCCAGACCCCCCAAAGATGTGCACAGAGGGAGAGCGGGGTGCGCTAGTCACCAACCTGCCCTTGCACACGCTCACGGAGATCGCATGTACCGACCTTGCACCCCCGCGCGCAGAACTTGCAGTGGGGGGACAAAAGCGCTGACACGGGGCACATGGGACAAACTGCAGGGTCTCGGTTGCTTCAGGGTCTGATTTATTTTCCCCTGGGTGCAGGTGCGGGGAGCGGGGGCTGTGATTTGCACCCAGCTCGGAGGGATGCTGCAAGCAAAGGTGCGCGTGCCCGCGCTCTGGCCCCGGCCCTGCTGCTGTGAGCCTGTGGCATTAAACATCACTCTGGGCACGTAGATCCACAAAAGCTTGCAAGAGGAAACTAAATAATCCAGCCTGTCCTAGAGCGTCCTGAAACACGGCCAGGGCTCAGCCCTGCCAACGCCGCTCCCTGGGGATCGTGTGTCTCCGGCAGCTCGGATGGGCCGGATGAGGCAGGGAGTGGGGTGTGAAGGGGGCGGGTGGTGGCCTTGGACACCAGGGTTGGCCCAGGTCCCTGTGGGGTGCCCGGGCTGGGAGGAGGACGTGAAGGATGAGATGCTTCCCGATAGGATGGGAGATGGCCGATGGGTCCCGCAGCAGGATGGATCTGGGCTGACCCAGCGGGAGAGCCTCCCGCAACCCACGGGGACAAGGAGATGAAGACGCAGCCCAAGAGCAGCCCCCGTCCCACCTCCCCATGAGAGGCCCCTCACTTACCCTCGCCGCCTTGGAGGAATAGGGATCCTCAAAGAGCGCCCACATCTTGGGCTGCCAATTCCGGCAGCAGCCCCCAGCTCCAGCGGCCCCAGCAGCGCCCGGCGGCCTCTCATCCATGCCCAGGCGTTGCAGGGCTGTCTCCCTACCCGCTCCTTCCTCTTCGGCCTCCTCTCCGCCAGCTCCTCCACCGGCCTCGGGGCTCTCAAAGATGTCCAGGGCCTCTTCGGCATCGCGGTGCTGCCGGTAGGTCATCCAGCAACACGGCTCCACGTCGGTCTCGTCGATGCCCCAGTACGTGAGCTCCTCCTCGAAGAGCGGCCCGCAGATGTCGGCCGGGCAGTGCAGCTTGCCCGTGCGGTAGTAGTTGAGCACATAAGAGAAGATGCCAGGGTGGCGGTCGAAGAAGAACTCGTTGCTCTTGCCATCAAAGTCAAAGTTGCTCTGGGCATCAGGGTCGGCGAGCCAGGCGAGGCGGGTGCCCGGCAAAGTCCGTAGGGTGCTTTTGTAGGTCTCATGCCGGGTGCCCCCAACATTGATGGTGATCTTGTCCGAGTCTTCCCCTTTGCCCATCTCTTCCTTCAGGCATGTTTTGGAGGGTGGTTTGTTCCCCGACTTGCGTCCGCGGTAGGAGGAGACGCACACGGAGCTGATCATAGATTTCGGTGGATGGGAGACGCAGGCTACGCGCACCCTTCCTCCGGGCGAGGAGTCGGTGGGAGAAGGGGGCACAGACGGGACTGGGAAGGGGAGACGGGGGGCGCTCAGACTCGGCTCGCGCGGCCTCAGCCAGCCCC